TAGGAGGGGGACTCCGGTAGGTCACACTGGGTCACCAAGATGTCGTCCGCTGCTCTCAGGCTGTGGAAGGGCTTGTGTTAACAGTGGACGGGGCAGCGGGGCAGCTGTGGGGAAGGGCTGGCTGAGAAGCAGCAGGGCTAGCTTTCTTTTCGGGGTGGGGGGCAGGGGGCGTATGGACTTCATTTGCTTTGTTCTTGTAAAAGAATTAGTTCATAATGATTCAGCTGAGGGCTTCCTTGGGTTCCCTTAAAGCCCAGGTCATATCTGTTCTTTTTCCCCCGAGAGATTCCTGAATAGTAGATTTTTTTTTCTCTGTGACGTGTATTTACATGAGTCTACATTTTCTTTGTAGAACCACCACCACCTAAAATCTCCAAAATTGAGCCCACTCACCCTCCATTGCCTCCGGCCCACCCACCGCCAGGTAAGTGTCTGCGGGAAGCCGCCGGGATTGCAGCTTTTGTCCCTGCCTTTCGAAGGGCAGAGTGGGAGGTCCTGGGGAAGATGACACGACAGAGACTCTGTAGCCAAAATTCTAAAACACAGCAGTGACTAAGGATCTTTCAAACACTTTTTCACAAACCAGATATTTGAGGATGTTGTGAATTCTAAGTATATCTGAATATTCTGTGACTCGCGGATCCAGAAGTGCTGAACTACCCAGGAAAGAGGAATTGAGCTCAGTTTTAGGGAAACGGGCCCGGCCGGTGTGTGAACACTTACCGCCTCCGGCGGGCCTCTCGCGCCTGCTGCTTGTTGGCAGAGCTCAGCACATGTTGAAGGATAAGCACTTGTTCACCAAGCCACATGGAGAATAGATTTAAGAGTGGAAAGTTCTCAGCAGGCGCACAGTGAACTGGGGAGCTCCCTTGGTTGGCATCAGTAAAAATAGAGGACAAGATTGTTAAGAATTCTGTGCCTGTGGCAGCATTTTGGAAGATGAAACATTCAGCAAGAGAAGACAGGAAGTTGTGTGTTTTCTGAAGGGTGGTAGATATTCCAGAGACTCCTCTGACCTTGGGGGGCGGCAGCCCATTCAGCCAGCTGTGCTGACCACGGGCGGGACCGTGGCTAACCTCACGCTCCCGGCACCATGTGCCTGCAGCAAGCGTGCTGCTGCCTGGCCGCCTCTGTCTGTACTCAGTCATGGTCGCTGGTGAGCTTGGAGAGGGCAGAGGTATCGTTTCCCACTGGGACAAACCCCACAACCCCCAGTTCAGTGTGAAGCTTGCCGGAAAGCCGCCTGCAGTCGGTCACTCAGTGTTTAGGGAGCGTCTGGCAAGCGTGGATCCCCAGCACCTGTGCCCTGGCGGGGGTGAGTGGGAACATGCTCAGGAGGCGGGCAGTGAGGAACGGGGGTGCTGTTGGGCAGGCAGTCAGCACAGGGGCTCCCACTGTGGGCAGCAGGGGTGGTGGGCCTGGGACCCAGGCTGCTCGAAGGGCCGCAGTGGGGAGGGCGCGGAGCCTGGCAGCCACGGCGCCTCTGAAGACGGAGGTAGAAAAGGGGGCAGTGGTCAGGTCACAGGCGCGCACTGCAGCCACCCTGTCACTATTTTGTAGGGGTGTGGGGGGTGGATGGACAGACAGACAGAAGGACCAGGAGGAGGAGCAGGAGTCTGATGTTGGGAAGCAAGAGGGGCTGGAACCACAGTTCCCGTGAGGCGCGAGGCCCGAGGTGACATGAGGTCACAGGGGAGTTTCATAGGGCAGCTTGTGACAGGTGTCAGCAGTGAGTGTGACGAGAGGGAGCGTAGGGGCTGGGAAACCGCTTTTGTCCCAAGTTGAGTGACAGAGCACTGGGCGCTTGCTGGCGACTTGAGGAAGCGGCAGAGTTCCGTGCTACCAGAGTTGGGGTCTTAAATATGGAAGAGCACATCTGTGGACTCAAGTGGCCGTGGAGTGACACGGGGAGGAATCCTGGGTGGTGGCATTTTCTGCACAGGCCTTAAGCTCATACTTGGTGTGCCCTAGTCAGCTTCCAAAACCACACGGCCACTGGCCCCGCCCTCCGCGGTCTCCACAGGCACATGTGACCTGGCTGGCGGTGGGCCTGCGGGTTAGCACAGGCGGGCCCAGGGACACGGCTGTGGCTGAAAGATATCCTCACCGACCTGAAATCGCACTCACTGTGGTGACAACAGCGAGGGAACAGCAGACACCATGGTCCCTGTGGTTGGGAAAGCGGTGGCCTTGTGGCTGCGTGCGGTGCCTTGGCCTCCTGGCCTCGTCACTGCCCAGTGCGACCTGGGCATGGTGCAGCTCCGTGTCTGTATTGTCACAAGGAGCACGCGAGGGAAAGTGCGGGGGCTGGAAACCCTCATCACGGCCCTTGTTTCTCCTTTTCCATGTTCTCTGGAACCGGAAATCTCGCTCCTGTCATTTGTCTGGGTCGCCTTGGAAAAAGACACATGTCTCGCTGTTGGGCGACCCCGTGGGGTGGCCCAGTGAATGAGTGAGTCACGGGCGAGGTGAGGCTCTGGAGGAAGGCAGTGTGAGGCCTGTGCCGGGAAGCCCCGAGGGACGGGCGCAGGAGTGTCTCAGGAGCGCGTGACACCAGCTGCTGCCTGAGAGGACGCGTGGGTTTGGCCTCGCTTCTCTTTGGTGGAATAGAACCAGAATCGCCACTTTGGTGGCCGCATTGCGAGTGTCAGTGACTTGTCCATTGTTTTCTTAAATGCTGCCTCATTCATTTGACCAATGCTCAGGCTTCTGCGCAAGCCGGTGCTGCAGACAGTGATGCGATGAGCCGTGGCCCTGGGCTCAGCCTCTGGGGGCGGAGATGGGCACAGGACGGGCCCTGCACGGTCTGTGCTGGGAAGGGGGGTTCCATGGGCGACCTGGACCACTGGGGGCTGGTGTGGTGAGGAGCGAGGGAGGGAGGCCTGGGTGGCTGGACGGGGTGAGCTGATGGGGTCAGGATGTGGGCACTGGCCGTGCTCTTGCCTCAAACGTGACAGCTGCTCCAGTTCCCCTGTGACTGTCCCTCGGGGAGCAGCAGCAGCCCGCCAGTGCTGTACTGGGGGCCAGGAACATGGTGGGTGGCCTGAGAGCTGCTGTGTGGAGCTGTGGGCGGCCCAGGGCTGGGCACCGACGCACGTCTCCTCTGCAGACCGGAAACCTCCCCTCTCAGCTGCCTTGGGTGAGGCCGAGCCGCCAGGCCCTGTGGACGCCGGTGACCTCCCCAAAGTCCAGATTCCTCCTCCGGCCCACCCGGCCCCCGTGCACCAGCCACCGCCGCTGCCACACCGGCCGCCGCCGCCACCGCCCTCCAGCTACATAACCGGGATGTCCACCACCAGCTCCTACATGTCTGGAGAGGGATACCAGAGCCTGCAGTCCATGATGAAGACAGAGGGCCCCTCCTATGGCGCCCTGCCCCCAGCCTACGGGCCACCCGCTCACCTGCCCTACCACCCCCACG